TCCCGTCGACTAGCAAGTTTCTTGTTAGCTTACAGAAACACACCGCACGCCACAACCCTTCAGAGTCCTGCGGAGTTGCTGCTTGGGCGGCGGCTCACTACCCGTCTCGACAGACTGCGACCCTCTGCAGAGGAAACTGTTCACCGCAAGCAGGACGTGCTACAGGTGAAGCACAGTGGCAAACACCGACACTTCGTGCCGGGTGATAAGGTGTACGTCAAGAACTTCCGGCCGGGTGAGAGGTGGTTGCACGGAGTCGTCATGGCTAGATCCGGACCGGTCTCCTACAGGCTTCGCGTGACCACACCGCGGGGGACCTTCGTGTGGCGGCGACACCAAGACCACCTGCGGTTGCGGGAGAGGTCTACCCCAAAGGAGGAGGAAGGTGGTTTGCTGATACCGAGTGTCCTGCCATCATCGCCAACCCCAGGGCAAGGGGGACTCGTGAACGAGCTGCCTCCAGTTGGGTCACCGGTGGTAGAGGGACAAGACATGGGATCAACTCCAGTCTCCGGTCGTTCCCCAGCCCAGCCGCAAGAAATTCAGCGCCGGTATCCCGAACGGCAACGGCGTGCGCCTAATAGGTTTTCGCCTTGAGAAGGAAGAGAAAAAGACGAGGACTTTGTGTTTTTCAGAACTGTAATTATTTTGTATTTAGTATGTCTGTACTTTGTACTTTCCAGAACTTCAATTATTCTCGTGTTTTGTTAAATTGTCATATCGTGTTACTTTGTGAGTATTGCACTGGAACGCCGTCGAATGGTATTACTGTGCTGAACTAAGTGTGGGGGAGTGTTGTATGGGTGACACAATAAGCGGGCAACAGCTAGCGCGCGCTCGTGCGTCTCGCGCCACTGTTCCGGGGCGCCATATCTATCTGAGCCAGCGCACCGTTTGCACCACCCGCTGCTATCCTGCCGCTCTCTCACGCCCGTGACTATGTGTCGTACTCCGGTAGTCCTGCAATAAAGATGTGCCAGCGAAGAACCCCATCGGCCTGTTACTCCAGATACCACAGTCGCCTTAACTCGTTGAACTGCTCGGCTGAACCGCCACCGAACCTCGAAGGCTCGCGTGGCCCTTCAGAAGAACAGGTCGTCCTAATCGTGCATGTCGTTTTCACGACTACCAGGCCGCCGGGGCTTCCCCAGCCCCAACGCATGGTAAAGGCTACGGTAACCGCCCTGGAGAGCTTGCCAAGACGTTTCTGCCAGCTGGACGGAAGACCACCCGCAACATCAGCCCGCACTGACGCCCGCAGGCTCCAATTCAAAATCGTCGGCACCTCCCTGTCATCTATGCGTCATCATACTCCCTTTGTACAGATCATCTCATAATCATCACCACTACATGTGGCACCGCGGGTCTCCATAGTACGGGCTGTCGGCTTTCCGCGGTTCCACAGCTCTCCTCAGCCAATAAAGATTACTATTACTACTACTACCAAGGCCCAGATAATAAGTCTCACTGTTCGTTAGAGTCAGTGAGGGTTGGCTCACGCAAAATGGTCTTCTTTTTTATATATAATAGGTTTTTTCATTTTCTGCACGTTTAGTCTTGGTGCTTAAACAATATGGTGGTGTTAGAGAACCGCGGTCCGCAGCCGGAATCCCGACAGTGCATTGCTTAATTCGAGTATGCAGTCCCTTTAAAGGAGCTTTGGTTGCTTTTCGAGTCGGATGTTCAGTCATCGAACCGTTTTCCCAATGTAGGAGCGCCCGCACGAGAAAGGGTTCACGTCCACCTTTATGAGGTGGCAGGATAATGTGTTCTTACAAAAGTCAGGATCTTTATACGATAGCGGGTGGTACCCGTATTAAGCAACAATTTTCTCGGTAAGATCGGCAGGGCTTTAGAGTTAAAATTGAAAAATAACACAAAAAAAGGTTTTCAGACACGTCGACAATTTTTTGGCTTTTATTGAAAGCTCCGATTCCCCCCACCCCCTCTCCCCATAATAAACAACAAAAACAACGTTAGATGGATTATTAAAAGCATTCAATGAACTAGGTCTGGGTTTTCGGTTTACGAATGAGACCCCAAAAGACAACCATATCCAGTTTTTTTTATCTCCATGTAGAATTAGAAAAAGAACACATATGCTGGTCGTACCACCTCAGATCCGCAATACGTTTTCTACACTCTCAGTCAGCACGTTCAAAACCTAGTGAAGAAAGGCATAGCCTTTTCTTGTTTAAGATCCGAATTAATCAAGTCGTGTATTCACAAAATAAAGATTAACTTCAACTTCCAGATTGAAATGATCGGAGCAACAGGGCTTCCAGACTCTGTCATTTCCACAGCTTGTGACAAAGTAGTAAAAAAACGCTAAGGCCGATTCAGCTCGAGATGAACAGTTGAAAAAGGAAAAGAAAAAGGTTGCGATCATTACATATATTCACCCCAAGTTACATGGACTTAAAGAGGTAGCATCTAGATGCAGAGTTAACGTGGTTTCTTCTGTCTGCAAAAAACAAAGCTGATTATGCTCCGTGGTAAACCGACACAAAAGCGAAAATATAAAAAAAGAAAACCAGCTGATTGTAACAGTTGCAACTTGAAGCGTCGCATCAAATTTGTCACCGGTGTAAAAGACAGGGTCTGCATGATTCTTTTCTCGTGTGGTCGCTTCTACATTGGGCAAACGGGGCGATGCCTGAACATCCGACTAAGAGAACACCTAAGCTCTTTGAATTCACGCATTTAGCCATGAATTGTTGAGATTGCGGGTGCGGTCTGCGGTTTTTCAACACAAGCGTATTATTTAAACACCAAAAGTAAACGTGTAGAGAGATGAAAAAAAAACTATTACATAACATCAAATAAACCATCTTGCGTGACCCAACCTTCCCTGACTCTAACGAACAGTGAGATTTATTTTTTGGATCTCGTTAATTAGCACGTGGAGTGTGAAACGAAACAAAAAAGTGCAAAATTCATGGCGCGCCCAATGCCTGAGTTAACATAGTGCCACCTACACATTCCAATAAAAAAATAAGTTGTTAGTCAGCGCTTGTCCTGTGTTGTACTTCTGTTTTGTCCTTGTCCCTTTCGCGCTACTTTTCGGAAGTAATGGCCCGTAGATCAGGCCTAGTCCTTTGTCAATGACGTGGCACATGACCATTGTACCACTGCCGTAGTTAGCCTATGCGTTATAAATACATATAGCTGGCCTTGAGTTTATTGAACAGACTTTTAGTACATCGTGCGCAAGAGCTCCGGTTTGCTAGCGGGAGCTCGTGACACAAATTTGAAGTATGTTTTGAGGATGCTGCCGCTGGGACCACTTTCCGCAGCTTAAAATTGTTGATCTACTTACGATCTAGGATCGTAAGCAGCTTGCGGACGGACACGGTCCTGCCAAATTGACCGCGGACATATAGGAGCCGGCTTGCCGGCAACTGTACGTAGAGTTTGTCACAACTTGTACACCGTCAGAAACGCTGTTTAAAAGGATACTGAACCGAAATTTAGAGCTCACAAAACAGGACTGGAGCGATAGGCGGGACCTTGCAAAACCCGAAAACTCATACAGCGATATCACGAAGGCTTGGCCGTATCTTAGGAAAACAAGTGCGCGATTGAGCACGGCCGACGAGGCCGACGAGACATGTCGTGTCACGATCCTAATTCCCTCTCCTCTTCGCTTCGTCCCTCGAGCAGCTGAGCCGAAGCGATGAGGCGAGAAGCGAGCCGCTTTTCCTTTCTCAAAAAGTTCGAAGATATTGTGACGTCGCATTTCTCGCTTTATCGCGTATTCTTTTCCAAAAATACGAAGATCCGCTCGAGATAACGATGTACAAGTGATTGTTTCGAGTTCGCAGCGTCCCATTCAACGATTCTGCGGCCTTATTCTGTGTAATCCAAATTTCAGTTCGGCATTTCTTTAAAGAGATGCTGAACCCAAATTTGGGTTCCGCAAAATAAGGTAGCAGGAGTGTTTAACGGGGCGACACAAACACCAAAACACCGCTCATAAAGCAATATCTCCAACGGGTGGACGTATGTTTGTAACATAAGGATGCGATTGAGCGAGAATCGCGACGTCGCGTTAAATACAGAATTGTTGAGGAGGAGCAGAGAAAACGGCCTTTCGTTCTTTCCTCTTCGTGTGCGTGCGGAGTCAAAGCAAGAAGAGAAGGAAACGTGAATCGTGACGTCACGGGGTTTTTGGCCTTGTTCAAGCGCGCTCTTCTTTCTCAAAAATACGACAATCCGTTGGAAATGTCGCTTTATCAACGATGCTTTCGGTTCGTAGCGCCCCGCCCAGCACTTAAGCGTTGTTTTCTGAAATCAACATTCCGCTTCAGCATCCCTTCCGGGCATCACATAAAAACACAGCTCCGCAAGAAAACATTTTTTTGTAGCAACACTTGTGCAGCTGTCACATTTACTTACTGTTTGTACACGGATAAAGAAGCTTAGAGGTCTCTCAGTCCTGCACACAAGTAGTAGAAATGTAATCATGATTTCTAGCCTGTATGTCATGGTGAATTTAATATGGCTCCATAAGAATCATGTACTGTATAATATATTTATCCTAAAACAATAACGGATCGTGAAATGGAGGGGGCGGGGCAGCGGCACATTCAAATACTCCTCAGGTAGGCCAAATGCAGAGCCCGCCTCTCCATAGGCATTGTTTATATTGCCAGTGCCCGCAAATCTCAACGACATATAAAGATGAATATCAATAATGCACTTTCTGTCCAATCAAACATCTGCGCGCACCGCTGTTATGGTTTCAGCTCACGGCTGCACAAGCATTCACTTTTGTTTTTTCTTTCCTGGAGAACCAAGTATTGTTTCTAGTGGTGGCCAATTTCGCTGTTCGGTTATTTCGCTGGCTGGAAACGGTTCGCCGTATCTTTTTACCATTTCTTCGTACACAATTGTGAGCAGCTCGAACCTCCGAAATTCATAGGTGTAGTTCCCTGCTCTAACGGAGCAGGTGACGTAAGCTCCGGTGTCGTCTCCAATGGCATCCATGTCCAACCCGTCAAAGATAATGCACTTGTCATTGGGGTACTTGTCGAGCAGATCTTTCACCTGCAAAGTATTTTTGCATACGCAGTTGGAGTAGTACATAAAACCATGAAATATTATTTCAGGCAGGCGCCCGTATATGACCTTATGGCAAGAAAAGGTTTATCAAATAATTAATATAATGATGATTTAATATCCCTTCATCGTCGTTACTGTGCATACGTTTGACCATCATTATAGCACTAACCCAAAGAGCACAAGGTTGGTCTTTCGCACTGGCTTTTAGACAACGGCGGCTTGGATTAAATATCTTACATTTTGTTAGTTTGTTTCGCCGCTTGACCTATCTGGTATAGAGTAGTAGGAAGAAAGGTGTACATGGTCGTCCCACCAATCAATCCATAGGTTGATTGGTGGGACATCATCGATAATTGTCAATGCTGCCATTGATGGCGGTCATCGGTTGACCATCGTGACGTCATCGCTTTATTCTCGTGGTCACATGACGCCTGAGTCGGCGCACTATAGCCAACGTTATTAGATTAGCTCAGTTACGAAACTGCTCATAGGCGCCGCATACACGAACAGTACCCCCCCTCACTCACCACGACTCGCCAAGCGTCGCTCGACGCGCCGCCAGACGGCTGCTTTGGTAACTGAATCAGGAGACGTACGCTGCAACGTTACTAGAAACGTAAAAAAAAAAAAAAAAACAGGAAAAAAACTATTTTTGTAGTAACTTTTATTGGAGTTTAGTACAAAATGGGGGGCGCGTGATGTTTTCTAAAATCTTTAGTTTGCGAGGTTTTGCAGTACAATTAATATTGTTTTCATACAACCATGCCTCAGCGGCGATTTCAGGTAGTACGTCCCGACCTAGGCTCATCTTCGGGAAAATTCGGGGCGCGCCCAGCGCCCTGGCTGGGGACACCGGGGTGGCATCCCTGTACCTTTACCACTGTGTTCGCGACTCCAACTAACTAAAGGTGGCGCCACTCATTTTCCAAAATGGCGGTTATAGTAAGAGTTGGAGATGCGTGCCGCTGTTGAGCCTGTCTAGTGTGCTGGCTTCACTGAGCAACACAAATTATTCCTGGTAATACTAGGCAGCTAGGGTGTTATGAGCGCAAGTTACCTCTTTACCCTGAAAACAAGAACGGCGTTTAGCGTAATATTTACGCCAGGATGCGCGTTTTAATTCTGGAGCGAAACCGAAACTAAGCTTTATTTTGGATTTAATTTCTCGATATAGGTCTTTATTTCGGATTCTTTCATAACTCAAGACGTGTCTCACACCGTAATTATTTAATTTGACGAGTTGTTGGCGAAAGCTTTATTTCGTGACTTACGTGTTCGATCCAGGCTGATATGTGTAGCTGTTGTCGTTGTTGAAAAAATCAGTGCTGATAATTGTGCGTCCTCGCGGCCTTTTCTCGCTCAGATAATTCTGATTGGAAATAATAAATTGCGGACTTTTTAACGATTTTTAGGTTATTTTGATGATTCATTGTTTTAACATTATTCCCAGCACAAGAAAAAGAGAATAATTCAAATTTTTACAATATGTCCACAAGACGTATAAATTAATAAACGCTGTTCTCATTGCAACACCCCAAAGACGGAATACGAGTCAGACAGCTGAATTGTGTGTATGTGTTTTATAGCAACGCGCGACGCATAGGACTTTATATTACATCCAGCGTTTGACTGTTTGTCTATCTTGATAACGAAGTAAGATTTTTTCATAAGCTAAAAAAAAAAGTTATACCTTTCTGCAAAAACTGTTAAGGTTCAATGGCGTATTTTCGTGATCTTGGCGTTAATTGGGGACATACATTGCCGCGATTTGCATTAATATTAATAATATAAAATTACGATATTCAAATACGCAATTTTTTAGGCTCTAATATAATTTGTTGCTTATGATCTAATTTCAAACACGCGAACAAATATGACAATCAAAATTTTGCTAAATATCATGACTGGTGCCACTGCAGCATTTTTAGTTACCAAGTAATAAAATATAAATAGTCTAAAATCAATTAATAGATTCTAGCTAATGTGAGAAATCCGAGTAAAATTACATTGATTGTCGGTAAAGTATATTTTGCTACCAAAGTAGCAACTTTTGACAACCGGCAAAACGTCCAAAATCGTCGCCAATAACCTTGCAAACCAAATGCCGAAAAACAAATTTGTTTTTTAGCTATTAATTTTTTTTTATAACATTTAGATACTCTCTTTTAGTTACTCTCGGTCGTTTTGCCAATCTCAGCCTTTCCAGTTCGAAGGGATGCCTACCTGCTTGCACGTCTGCTCACTGCAGCACGTTTCGTTGGCGTTGGAAGCCGGTGAAACAGTAGTGAGTTTTAGTATTGCGTATACCAGCGAACGGAAGCGCTGTGTGTTTGTGTTAGCTTTGCATGTTCCACACTTCGCGTGCACGGAGTTCAAAAGTGCGGTGTTGGATGGCGCATGGCGATGAGGCGCACGCACAACGTGGGGAACGGAACTCTAAAGCAAACGCACACCGCTTGCGTTTGCTTCAATACGCAATACTAAAACTCGCCAGTAAGACACACTCCCATACCGGCTGCAGCACTACGTTGGGAGACTGAAGAGTGTTCTTTGCATTCGGAAATAACATATCGCGAGGCATGATCGCGAGCAGTTCCGCCGTGCCCGCCGAACACGAGAATCGGGGGACCCTCACTAGAGCGCTTCCCGTTTCCGCAGCGGGAGGGCGAGCGTCGAGCTGGAGACGCGAATATGTTTCGGCTCCGAAATGGCCGATCGAAGCTAAAATAGATGTTACGTACAGTTCCTTCAGTGACCGCTGCAGGATAACCAGGATAAATGGCGGCGTTGTGATCGCCATTTAGCCCTTCAGCTGGGCTCTTCGGAACGCATAGTTATGAAACGAAAATAGAGATGGCCCTTCGATCGACGCTTGGCGGATTGGAGTGAGTGAGGGGGGTACCCTCCTCCGCGGGAGTTCCACAACTGAGGTAATCTAGTAACGTTGACAATAGCGAACTGGCGCCATCGTTTGACCTTGTGACGTCATGTGGTCACGTGACGCCTGTGTTTGCACACTGCCGCGAGGTGGCGCATCAGAATGGCGCATCTGGCGCCAGGTGGAACATCGGACCCGGCTGCGAGGTGTAGCGGTGTCGCGAAGTGGCGCATCTGGGCTGATAATTTACACCTTCCTATGAAGGTCTTGACTAAAATTAAAATGCTCCATCTGTAGTGAGCCGCCGAAACCCAGGAGGGCAATTTTCAGATGGAAGAGTTGAAATTTGAGGGGGTCGTGTTCACGAGCTCCCTGAAATGCTTCGCTCTTGACGAAGGCGACTACAAGATTAGAAGGCATCTGATTATTATAAATATGGTTGGGATCGATGCGCGACCCTCCTGGGGAGAAGGTCCTTGTTTTGATCTCCAGGACTCGAAGGAGGTATAGGTGGCGGGAGAGGACTGCACCCTTACAAAAATGAAAAACGAGTTTCAATTGAGCTTCTAATGTATTTTCATAGAGTCAAATGAAACTCAAAAGAAACTCAACGTTAAATTAGTTTTATCATCAGAAAATGGATATTTATTATTTTGAATTTACTCACTACACATTCAAATGAGAGTTATCATTACTCACTCAATATCTATTCTTTTGAATTTACTCATTACAAACTCAAGTGCGGTTTATCGTTACCCAATCACTATCAATTCTGTAGAGTTTACTCATTTCACATTTTAATGAGTGTTATAAGTAAGAACACAATATCCATTATTTTGAGTTTACTCATTACAAATTGCAATGAGTTTACTCGTTACCGGCTCAGTATCCAATCTTTTGAGTTTACTCATTTCAAATTCCAACGAGTTTTATCGTTACCCAGGCAATATCCATTTTTTTTAGTTTATAAATGTACTGATTACCCATGTAAATGTGTATTATTATTAAGAATGCAATATCCGTTCTTCTGAGGTTATCCATGGAGACTCAGGTGAGTTCTACCATAAGACACCCAATAGACATCAGCTGATCCACAACGGGGAAATTCGATAAAGGAAAGGTGAAGATAATCATGAATGCAGATTGCCTGCTATTCAGAATACATTCTCCTCAAATAAAGTCAGGTTCAAAATTGCAATACAATAACTTCTCATATTTATTAACCATTCATTAACCCTTCTATGAAATCATAATCAATTATTCCTATTCTCAACTAGCACATTGTCTCAGGCGATCAAAATAACACAGCGATAGACACAATAACTCAATATACAACATCTGCTCCCAAACTTCCCTACGCGCGCAATCCACTAAAATATAAAATATATCCTGCCACGACCCGCCCCCTCCTCCATTCGCATTTGGCTAGACCACAAGTCTTACCATCTCAGTGATTAAGCAGAAACATATTGAAATTGTCTCTGAAATTTAGCTGCTCAGGTAATACAGGTAATTAACAGCTAACAAATTTACAATCCATTGAAAAAAAAATGATACAAGCCAGCAGTTGTTTTGCGACACTCCGCTAGATCAGTCATGACACCCCTGGGGTTCGCGCCTCATTTTGGGAAGCACCTGCTGTTTAATATTACAAATACAAAGTGTTGCTTAGAACATTTTTCAAGACATTTATAAGTAGCTATTGTTGACCTAATACCGCGCAAAAATTTAAACCAACACTCACACAACCTCACAGAAACCTAATTCCAAGTGTCCACAGAACTAAGACCAGTAAGCACAAGACGAAACACACACTAGGCTGATTAATTAACTCTCAGCTGTCATTTTGTTTAAATTCAATACACATGAAAATAAAAGAGGAATAGGAATGCCAATCGGCATAGCGTTTGGTCCTATGGGAGGTTGGACTGCTTCCATAGGGACGTTATCGGACCATGAGGAATTTTTATCAGTCAAACCAATTGTTTTGTTGGTCAAACAGGAATGTCTAGGCCAATTGTGCATGCATATTTGAGCAATAGGAAGTAATTAGACGTATGTCTGTCAGAACGATGTAAATGTATAATGGACGCAACAAGGGAGATTC